CGCTGCCGCACCAACAACGCACGGGGCAGGCTGCACCTGCACACTCGCGGCTCCAAGTTCCAGAAGTTCCAAGAGGTATCTATTGGGCCTATACTGTGCATTTATGGCTTGACAGTAAGGGGTGATGTGCATGGGCTGTGAGGATGGGTTGTGAGCATGGGCTGTGATCATAGGCTGTGAGCATAGGCTGCTGTGAGCGTGTGGTGCATTTGTGTGGTTCCCAAAAAGTAAATGGTGGAGTGCACGCTTCAAGCTACCTTCGTGTCCCTTCCCGCGCACATTGAGGGCCCTCAGCTTGTTTGCACATGTTGAGGATTCAGCTCTCCTTCTCATGCCTGGGTGCCATGGCACGGCATGTTACATGTGGCCTCTGACAGCATGTCACATGTGGCCTCTAACAGCATGTCACATGTGGCCTCTAACAGCATGTCACATGTGGCCTCTAACAGCATGTCACATGTGGCCTCTAACAGCATGTCACATGTGGCCTCTAACAGCATGTCACATGTGGCCTCTAACAGCATGTCACATGTGGCCTCTAACAGCATGTCACATGTGGCCTCTAACAGCATGTCACATGTGGCCTCTAACAGCATGTCACATGTGGCCTCTAACAGCATGTCACATGTGGCCCCCCTCTTGCAATGATGCAGGCGCGCATACAGGAGCTAGCAGAGCAGGTGCCCAAGGGGCATGTGCCGCGCGCCATGACAGTGCAGATCAGGGGCGACCTCACCCGCCAGGTGCGCCCTCCCCCAACTCACCCGCCAGGTGCGCCCTCCCCCAACTCACCCGCCAGGTGCGCCCTCCCCCAACTCACCCGCCAGGTGCGCCCTCCCCCACCTCACCCGTCAGGTGCGCCCTCCCCCACCTCACCCGTCAGGTGCGCCCTCCCCCACCTCACCCGTCAGGTGCGCCCTCCCCCACCTCACCCGTCAGGTGCGCCCTCCCCCACCTCACCCGTCAGGTGCGCCCTCCCCCACCTCACCCGTCAGGTGCGCCCTCCCCCACCTCACCCGTCAGGTGCGCCCTCCCCCACCTCACCCGTCAGGTGCGCCCTCCCCCACCTCACCCGTCAGGTGTGCCCTCCCTCACCTCACGCACTGCCTGCGTGGTTGTGTTCCTTGAGGCACCTGTTACATTCATGCATCTCCAGTGATGACTGCGCTACTTAAAGGACTCCTGGGCAAGCCAGACTCCCTTTCCCTCATCCATCTCGCCCTGTGCGTGCCACCACAGGTATCACCGGGCGATGTGGTGAGTGTGGCGGGGGTGTTCCTGCCGGTGCCATTCGTGGGGTTCAAGGCCATGCGGGCTGGCCTCACGGCCGACACTTACCTCGAAGCCATGTCCTTCCACCACTCCAAAAAGCGCTTCTCCGAGTGAGTCTCTGTCGCTGGTTGAAAGGGGAAGGAGTGCATTGTAGTGGCGCATGGAGGGAGGGGTGAAGGCCATGGAGAGAGGGGTGAAGGCCATGGAGAGAGGGGTGAAGGCCATGGAGAGAGGGGTGAAGGCCATGGAGAGAGGGGTGAAGGCCATGGAGAGAGGGGTGAAGGCCATGGAGAGAGGGGTGAAGGCCATGGAGAGAGGGGTGAAGGCCATGGAGAGAGGGGTGAAGGCCATGGAGAGAGGGGTGAAGGCCATGGAGAGAGGGGTGAAGGCCATGGAGAGAGGGGTGAAGGCCATGGAGAGAGGGGTGAAGGCCATGGAGAGAGGGGTGAAGGCCATGGAGAGAGGGGTGAAGGCCATGGAGAGAGGGGTGAAGGCCATGGAGAGAGGGGTGAAGGCCATGGAGAGAGGGGTCAAGGCCATGGAGAGAGGTGTCACATCCACCATCAGCGCTCACCACTTCACCAACTTCTCCCTCTCACCGCTCCTCCCCTTGCCCCACCACGACCTCACCGCGCCCCCATCACCCCCTCACCATTCCCTGGGACGTCCCTATGGTGCCCTTTCACGTCCCTATTGGTACACACGTGCATGCGCTCCCACCCGCCAAGCAGGTACGCGAGTGAGCAGACGCCAGAGGAGGCAGCGGCGGTGCAGCAGCTGGCAGCGCAGGGCAGCAGCGACGTGAAGAAGGTGCTGCTGCTGCTGCTCGTGGGGGCGCCCACGCGCACCCTGCCCGATGGCATGAAGGTGCGCGTTCAGTGCGGCACTGCCTCCCCAAGACCGATGTCCATGCAGCCTCAGCCTCCTTTGACCTTTAGTGGGCAGCCACGTGTGCCTCATGCAACCTCATGCCCTCCCTCCGCATCCTCTCTGCGCTCCACACCCCCCCACCCCCCTTCCACCCTGCGGGGGGTCAGATCCGTGGGGACGTGCACGTGTGTCTGATGGGCGACCCCGGGGTGGCGAAGAGTCAGCTGCTGAAGCACATCGTCACCGTGGCGCCCAGAGGCGTGTACACCACGGGCAAGGGCAGCAGCGGCGTGGGGCTCACTGCTGCCGTCACACGCGACACCGTGACCGGGGAGATGGTGCTGGAGGGGGGGGCTCTGGTGAGTGCACCTGTGCAGCTATGCAACTGTGGGCGTGTGGGCGGGCTGCTTGCTGCTGCTGTGGCGTGGGAAGGGCGCCTGGTGATGCCTCTGCGCAACTGTCACCACGGGACACGGTCGCTGGAGTTGGTGCTGCAGCGGACCTCTGCTGGTTGGGTGGGCTCATGGCTGCGTTGAGTGTGACTGTGTGGGCTGTGATTGTATTGGGTCACTGATATGAGCAATAGTCTTGTGTTAAACTGGGTGGTGTGAAGTGGCAGGTTGACCATGTGGTTGGCAAGTTCATGCCGGGCCTCCTCACCCGCTTCTCTTTCTCTCTTCTCATCGCACCTCCTGCTCACCTCCCCTCCCCCCGTGCCACCCCCCCACCAGGTGCTAGCGGACATGGGCATCTGCGCCATCGACGAGTTTGACAAGATGGACGAGAACGACCGCACCGCCATTCATGAGGTCCGCCCGCCCCTCGCTTCCCTCTATCCTCTCATTGCCAATGCATCAGCCATGGAGCAGCAGATGTGTTGCGCACAGGCATTTATACCGTAACGTATGTTACACCGCATGCGCCATGCCATGCACGGCAGGTGATGGAGCAGCAGACGGTGAGCATAGCCAAGGTGGCATCACCACGTCGCTCAACGCTCGCACCGCTGTGCTGGCCGCTGCCAATCCTGCCTGGTGAGATTACCCGCTGTGTGCTCCATCGCTGCTGCTCGCCCACCTCGCTTCCTCGCCTGCACCACTGCCATCATGCCCGCCGGGGAAGCTGCTCTTTCTCCCATCTTTACCTTCTCCTCCCCTTGCCAACCAACCCCTCTCTATACTCCCGCCTTCTCCTCCTTGCCACCCAGGGGGCGCTACGACATGAGGAGGACGCCAGCGGAGAACATCAACCTGCCGCCCGCACTGCTCTCCAGATTCGATATCCTCTGGCTCATGCTCGACCGCGCTGACGTGGACGCTGACCTGGCGCTCGCCCGTCACGTGCTGCACGTGCACCAGCACTCCGCGCCGCCCGCTCTTGACTTTGACCCCGTTGACCCAATGCTGCTCAGGTGCGTTGCAACGCTTCTCAGGTGCTTTGCAACGCTGCTCAGGTGCTTTGCAACGCTGCTCAGGTGCTTTGCAACGCTGCTCAGGTGCTTTGCAACGCTTCTCAGGTGCTTTGCAACGCTGCTCAGGTGCTTTGAGACTCGACTCAGCTGCTTTGCAATGCTGCCTGCGTTTACGCTGCTCAGGTGATTTCAGATGTTGCTCAGGTGATGTCAGTCACCGTTCAGGTGCTTCAAACCTCCCCTCTTGTGCTGTGAATAACATGTTTTCAGCACACTCACTACACAGGACCCACCTCCCAACTAGGGGCTTTTTGGCAACAGGTCCTTTACCCCTCTGCCCCCCTGTCACCCCCTCCCTCGGCCGCACCTCTCCCCCTCCCCCCCACCAGGAACTTCATAGCAACGGCACGGACGTACGAGCCGAGTGTGCCGGAGGAGCTGACGGACTTCATTGCCTCGGCGTACGCGGGGCTGCGGCAGGAGGAGGCCGCCAGTGATGCCCCGCACACCTACACCACCGCGCGCACCCTGCTCTCCATCCTGCGCCTTGCTGAGGTGATAGCGGCATGGGGTGGCACCATGGATTGCATGGCATGGGGTGTGGCGTGGATTGGGGTGGTGTGGCATAGGATGATGCGACACTTGTTTTATAGCGAGTTATGCAGGAGGTGCCATGGGTTGCAGTGTTGAGGACATGGGTAGCGGGTACGAACATCTTCACTCACTACCTTCTCTTCCAACCATGCTCTTCATGCCCCACCTCTTCCTCTCCATTAACCCCTTCCCATCTTGCGTCTCTCCCCTGTCACCCTCCCGTATTCTCACCTCCCCGTCTCTCCCCTGCCCCCCAGGCTCGGGCGCGGCTGCGGCTGGCGGGGGCGGTGGCGCAGAGTGACGTGGAGGAGGCGCTGAGGCTGATGCACGGGTCCAAGGCGTCACTGCAGACGGAGGCACGGCAGCGCGCAGGGCTGGACGCCATCTCCGCCGTCTACTCCATCGTGCGCGACGAGGCTGCCCGCGCGCGCTGCACCGTGGTCTCGTACTCCGACGCCCTCAACTGGATCACCCGCAAGGTGCCCCACTCCCTGCCCCTCCCTCTTGTGCCGTGCCGTGCTGTGCCGCAAGTCACTGTGGACTGGCTTCCCTCCTGCCTTGTTGACCGTTGCATTCTGTGTTTTCCAGGGACTTGTGACGAGGTGGACTTGTGTTGTGGTGGCACTGGGTGCTGTTGCTGTCTCATTCCTCTCCCCCCCCCTGGCTGCTCATCTCTAATCAACGTTTCTCTGCCCACATGCAGGGCCATAGCGAGGCAGATCTGAGGGAGTGTTTGGAGGATTATGCGGAGCTCAATGTGTGGCAGATTGACCAGGACTCGCTCACCATCCGCTTCATTGACTCTTGATTCGAGAATGACAAGTTTGTATGTCTGTTATTAGTAAAAGCGTCACTAACAAAAACTATTCTCGGATGAAATTGGTCCGTCACAGATGGCCCACTGAGCCTGTGGGCAGGGCAGGGAGCACTAGATCTACACAGGTACACCATGGCAGGACTGTATACAGCACTAGCCCTCACCACCACCTGTCCACATGATCTTCACCGCCTGTACGCGTCGCGCTCATCCCGCCCTCTCTCCCGTTCGTACCCGCGCCTTGAATCGTCCCGCTCCCTGCGATCCCACTCCGAGTAACGTTCCCGCTCCCGCTCCCTCTCATACTCCCTCTCCCTGTCGCGCTCACGGTCTAACCCCCGGTCGCGGCCGCGCTCATGCTCATCCCGCTCGCCACCGTACGTGCTCACCAGCCTGTCCCCACCGCCCCCGCGCCCACCACCACCGTCAAACCCCCTCGCACCACTGTCAAACCCCCTTGCACCGGCGTCAAAGCCCCTGGGGGGGGCGGGGGGGAGGCGGTCGACAGTGCTGGGCAGGCGGTCCGGGGCGGAGAGGAGGCGGTCCCCCGAGGCAGAGGCAATGCTCTGCTGCACCTTCTGCGCTATCAGGTGCTGCGCTGCCACCACTCCCTCCGATGGGCCCGTTATGGTCACCTTCCTGCCAGGTGCAGGGAGGGGGGGCATAGACATATTGGGCCATGTGGCCTGCTAAGTGCGCAGGGCTAGAACCAGATACAGATGGTCACAACGAGATGCAAGGGAAGAAGTGGGGATCGCAACTGCTGCACTGCCGGGGCTGATGTTGCCATGGGTATGGTGATAGGGAAGGCACTGGCCTGTTTCTGGTGCCCTCGACGTAGTCATTGCGGTCGGAGATGAGCATGCGCACCCCCGCCGACTGCACACATGCATACACACACGATGAGGTGAGGCACGGACCACACAGATCATGCAGCATAAGGACCACACAGATCATGCAACATAAGGACCACACAGATCATGCAACATAAGGACCACACAGATCATGCAACATAAGGACCACACAGATCATGCAACATAAGGACCACACAGATCATGCAACATAAGGACCACACAGATCATGCAACATAAGGACCACACAGATCATGCAACATAAGGACCATACAGATCATGCAACATAAGGACCACACACATCATGCAACATAAGGACCACACAGATCATGCAACATAAGGACCACACAGATCATGCAACATAAGGACCACACACATCATGCAACATAAGGGCCAAGCACATTCTTTTGGCATTGAAGAGCTATGAGAAGGTGACGAATACAGCGGGATGATCCCTCCAAGCTAAAGGCAAAGCTTGCAAGCTCCAACCTTGTATGAGTGGGTACTCATTTCTGTGCGGCACTGCACCCCATGCACCATTGTCCCCTACAATGCAACCCCACCTGCTGCACCCCTGCGCCACGCACGTGCTGAATTCCATGCAATGAGCCCTTGGCACGCACGTGCTGAATTCCATGCAATGAGCCCTTGGCACGCACGTGCTGAATTCCATGCAATGAGCTCTTGGCACGCACGTGCTGAATTCCATGCAATGAGCCCTTGGCACGCACGTGCTGAATTCCATGCAATGAGCCCTTGGCACGCACGTGCTGAATTCCATGCAATGAGCCCTTGGCACGCACCTGCTGGATCTCATGCAGCGACTTGCCACCCTTGCCCACCACGGCGCCCACGTGGTCGTCCGGCACCGCCACTATGATGGTCGTCGGCACTCCGCCGCCCAGCGGCAGAGGAGGCGGGCCCTGCACACAGGGGTGGCGGGGAGGGTGGTGGGCGGAGGTGGACATGGGTGGATGGTGGGGATGACGGAGGTGGTGGGCGACGTGAGTTCAGTTAATCCCTTGCAGCATGGCATGGTTCCAATGCGTGTGCGAGCAGCGCAGGGAGCAGCGCAGGGAACAGAGCGGAGAGCAGCGCAGAGGCAGTGATGGCCCACTGCTTCTGCCACGCATACACATGCAGTCACACACGGGTATAGCAGCACAACGGTGGCATCACAGAACCAACACGCAGTGTCACAGCACGCCCACCTTGCCACAGCACGCCCACCTTGCCACGCGGGTCCGAGAGGTACGGCGGAAGGCCCCTCTGGGCAGCATAGGGCGCTCCAAATCCTCCGCCTCCGCCCCCTCCCCCTCCCCCGCCATATCTGTCCCCTCCCCCATAGCCCCCGCCCCCACCTCTGCCCCCGCCTCCGCCCCCGTACGGAGCACCACCACCGCCATAGCCGCCACTGAACCCGCTGCCCCTCGCCCCGTACCCATCGTTGTACCCCCCTCCGCCCCCGTACCCGCCCTCCCTGCCCCCTCCTCCTCCCGAAAACCCGCTGCTCCTGCCCTCGTGCCTGCCCCCTCCCGCTGGCGCAGGGGGAGCGGGAGGCGGCTGCGATGACCCGCCCGCCGCTGGTGGGGGGTGCGCAGTGACGCGTGAAGGGAGGGGGGCAAGAGATAAGGACGTGAGGAACAGAAGGGGGTACGTGAGAGCGGGAGGGGAGGGTAGACAAATGTGGAGGAAAGAGGTACTACATAGGAAAAGGGGACGTACACGTAGGTAGGACAGAGGCACGTGGCTCACCGGTGTAGGACAGAGGCACGTGGCTCACCGGTGTAGGAGAGCGGCACGTGGCTCACCGGTGTAGGAGAGCGGCACGTGGCTCACCGGTGTAGGAGAGCGGCACGTCAGCGTACTGCACGTAGGTGGGGTCTTCAGACATCTTGGTCAGCAGCAGCGCCACCGCGCGCAGCTTCTGCTCCAGCGACCCGCCTATCGTGATGAGCCTCTCGGCGAACCCCGGGCCCGCGGTGTCCTGCGACGACAGCTTGATGGTGGCCTGCGAGTCCTCCACGAACGACCTGCGCCCACCCACGCGCCCGCCGATGGCCCCAGCGATGGTTGGCAACGGCGTGGTGCGATGGCGCGCACGAGGTGACGCGGACAGCGATGTGAGGGTGGCGTGGTGACGTCAGGCCCACGTGGCAGGGCGTGGTGGCATGACATGCGTGGTGAGAGGGCACAGGCAGGAGGAGGGTGGAGTGGGGTGCGGAGGGGTAGAGCGGGGGTTGGGATGGGTGGGGCGGAGAGCAGAGCAGATGGGAGACGGTGGGGGGTGAGGAGTGGATAGCGGATGGCACGAAGCTGGATGAGGGCCGCGTAGGACAGGGGGGGGGAGGGGGGAAAGTGAGGGTGACAGCCCGGAGCCGCGGCACCACTGGCGTTCTCGGTTCATACTGTGGGGCGTGCTGTTGCGGAGGGAGGGCGCAATCGCTTGACGATGCGGAGGGAGAGGGCGGGAAGCGATGGTGCGAGGGAGAGGACGATGCTGCGAGAGAGAAGAAGAGGGGATGATACACGAAACAGAGAAGAGCGGGCGATGGTAGAAGATGGAGGGGTGGCAGGTGGGGTGACGTATGGGCGCCACTAATGACCCATGAGAGAACGACAAACGGGGAAGCAAGCGAATCGAGGCGCGCAGACGAAGGGATTTGAGTTTAGCCGTTGCGCACACACGTGATGTTACCCTGTTACAAGAAAAACTGATGAGTTCCGCCGTTGCGCACTGTTTGGGCGATGGCTGCTGATGTTGCAGATGCTCGCTTTCTAGAATGGCATTACATGGCAGCTATGGCCGCATGGAGGACTAAGAGCAGGACATCCGGAATTGAGAAAAGGTAGATGAGAGAGAGTGGCGAGGAATCAGTGAAGGGAGGTTGCGGCTGCGGGGATGAGGGGGCACGCGCGGAGGGTGAACGCCTTGGTCTGAGGGTGCTCCGGAGGGAGACGACCAGGAACTGGTACTGAGTGGAGCGATACAAGCATCGCGAATTGTAGCAGTGGTGAGTGGGGATGAAGTCAGAGTGCTGGTGATGGAGTTGAGAGTGGTAGAGTTGGAGTTACGAGTGGTGGTGATGGATTTAAGCGTAGCACGGAGTGGTGAGGGAAGGTCTAAGGTGGTATTGAGGGGCGACAGTTTCATCCCTGTGAAGACACCCACACCCCACAACGACACAAGCAGCGTAAGCATCGGGCCAGTGAATGAGAGGGGACACGACGAAGGACATAAGGAGGGTAGTGATCGATCTTCAGTGTCGAAAAGAGCCATGCGCGACGCCAGTTGAGGGCAGGAATGCGGGCGGAAAGAGGCGGTTGGTGGAAGGAGCTGTCATTGGCAGTGGTGAAGGAGACTGACCGGATGGTGGCGCCGGCTTTGCCGATGATGGCGCCGCACACGCGGTGCGGCACCACGATGCGCAGCAGGTCCAGCTCGCCCTCGCGCGCCGTCTCCACCCGCCGCGGATCCTGCGCGCACCGCACCGCATGGCATGCACACGCTCACCGGAAAGGCATGAGGTACCAGTGCGTAGAAAACAAGATTCCAACGATTTTGTAAAAGCAAGACGCTAGCGAAAACGGCACGAAAGAGAGAGGAATTAAAAACATTATGCAACAAACAAATACGAGCGAACAAGAGAGTACGATAAAATGAAGGCGATGGTTGGTTGGCGTACGTCGGCGAGCTTGGAGAGGATGAGGTGCAGCGCCGTGAGGATGGCGCTGACGGTGCCGCTGATGAGCACGATGCGGTCCGCCGTGGCGGGGAAGAACTCGTGCGCGCGCGACATGACGATCTTGGCGCCCGACTGCACCTGGAACTCCGATATCACCTGCCCCGCCTTGCCGATCACCGATCCCGCAAAGTTGTTGGACACCAGGAACCGCAGCGTCGACTCCAACGCCCGCACCTCCTCTGCTCAACCCCGACGATACAGAACAAAAAAAAAAACGATCAAACAGCTTAAATCGGTGAGAAAATATTTTGGTAATAAAAAAGAGAAGAGTCGATGATAAGAAGCAGGTTCAGGTAAGCTTGGCATGGACGGCAGATGTGGAACCCTCACCGGTATCGCGGGTGTTTTGACGTTTCGCGTCATCCCGCCGATCTTCCACGTCATCATCATGTTCTCGCTTTACCTTGCTCCTAGAGCGATTAGGACTTTTAGGGCTCGGCGTCCTCCTTGGGCTTCTAGGGCTTCTCGGGCTTCTGGGGCTTCTGGGGCTCCTGGGACTCCTAGCTGGTGATGTGTCCGCCATGGCCGTTATCTCAAGATTTTCCATGTTCGCCTAAACAAGTAGGGACCTGCAGGTTGGTTCAGGAAACAGGGGTTTTGAGTTGAGCACGCACTGTTACTGAACTTCTTCGCTCCCATTGCAACTTCAGCGCTTCTGGCGCACTGTTACTGCTCTGTTTTCGCTCACAACGCAGAGTTAGCTCCTTTCAACGCAGTTTTGATTTCATTGGTCCACACATGGCACATAACTACAAACCGAACCTGTGGATACTGTCACAGAAAACAGTAACTACTTTTATTTGTTTTTAGTGCTAAACATTATATATACCCCTTGAACAAAGGTATCGACCCTAAATACCTTCCGAATGGTGTTTAGGGTTGATGCTCTATCGAGACAAGCCATCGAAAAAAATATACTCGTTGGGAAGGGCATCAATCCTAAACACCTTGTCTCCCGGTGTTTAGGGTTGATGTCTCCCTCGAAAAACATGCCACCCGATTGGGGTTTTATGTTTTTGTGCCCGAAATGCTTTAGTTTGACGGTTCTGTGGCCGCCAACCAAAGCAGAGTTATCGGCCCGGCAATTCTACGACCAATGAAAGCAAAACTGCGTTGAAAGGAGCTAATTCTGCGTTGTGAGCGAAAACCGTGCAGTAACAGTGCGCCAGAAGCCTTGTAGCTACGTGGGGAGCAAATATGATCAGTAACAGTGCGTGCTCAACTCAAAACCCAGGAAACAGTCGGACGAATACTCGCAATTGAATGCCTTAGTGCGGGGTACGATATTACTCTTGGGGCCACATGTACAATCTGTTTTAAAATTTATACAGGCTGAATACGGCCACCATACCATATCCAATTTGCTGATTCTTTTCCCATAATCAATACGTTGAACTTCTTGATGAGATCATAAATGCAGGATCAGATATACTCGTTTTTTATTTGTGCTTACAAAGAGAATAATAGGACACGAGTGTTAATCAGAACTGAAGTGGAACTAGGCTAGGAACCAGTTATTCTACTCCAAATTCACAATGTATAGGGGGTTAATATTCCAACACTTAGGTCATAGTGTTTTATAGGATGGCAGCGTGATGCACTTTGAACAAACATGCCTTGAGAAACCACTAAACATGCCTTGAGAAAAGTTTTTTAGAGTCCCAACATGACGACACTATCAAGGCGTGTCAAAGACGCCACCTCGCTACGTGCGATGCGCCCGTGCCAGCGAGAGACGCATCACAAGGAATTTGCGAGTTTTGGGGCTTCGAAAGTTCATAGTTAAGGTTTCAGTAGGAGGGTGATATTCTCAGCATTTGATTGAATGCAATTGCACTAAATCGCGGTGTTTCTTGGGCGTACGCGCGCAAGCGCACTGCGTGTGAGCTAGAGTTGGCATCGCGCGTCGCCCGTGGCGATGGCCGCAGACCGATGGAGCGGGGGAGACCCGGGCGGAGGGGAGGACGCGTGGGGGCGCGGGGAGGCGGAGAGCGAGGGCGTGTGGGAGCGCGTGGTGTACCAGGCGGACGACAGGGGCGCGCTGGAGCGCCTCATGAAGCGCAAAGGCGCGGCGGGCGGACGAAATGTGGCGGGACCCAAGGTGAGCGCCGTGCGACGAAGGGGCAGAATGAGTGCCCGCGACTGTGTGTGATTGAGGAGGAGAGGGGAAACGACAGGGGAGGAGTAGCGAATGGGCGAAGGGGAGGGGACAAGGGGAGGAATCACGTAGGCAGGGAGCAGGGTGATAACGATCACGGTCGTCAAGTGAATTTGCCCAATCTCCGCCCATTCTCATTTCGATCGGGGTCGCTTCTGCTCTTTGGTCCTTGCTTCCATCTACCTCGTGTTCATCTGCTGTTCCCCTGCTCCTCCATTGCTCTCATTCCACTTGGCAGCCTTTGATTGGTGAACCACAAGCCGCTGTTGCTGCACTTGGAGAGTCAGCAGCGAACAGCAGGGACGTGTCAGGAGTGAAATTCGGGTGGCCGGGTTTGGTGGCACCTGATGCGGCAGGGATAGGAGGAGGTGACACGTGGCAAAGGGCCAAGTGGGGGCTGCGGTGGTTTGACTCGCCCACTGCTGATGACTGGGTGGGTGCCCCTGTGTGTGCCATGCCATCCGTGTCCATCTGCTGTGCTTGTATGCCGTGTCTCCTGAGCTGCTCGTTGCTGTCCCTTCCACATGTGGTTCCAGCATGTCATACCATGCATACTCCACCTCCTGTCTGTCCATCTATCCGTTTATCAACCAGCAGTGCTACTCACCCCTGTTTCCGCGCCCGTGCTCCCTCTGCTGTCCACCGCGCGTGCACGGTCGTCCCCTTGGCCAGGAGGACGGCTTCCCTGATGACCACGTGGACGCTCACGGGGCAGCCCTCGCTGGCGATGCGCTGGAGGGGGAGGAGGCACGGGAGGCAGTGCAGGGGGCAGTGCAGAAGGGGGGGGGCGAGGGGGAGGTCGGGCAGGGGCAGTACAGCCGGCGCGTGGCGGAGGGGCTGCTGGAGCGCCTCTCCTTCATGCCCGCCCTCCATGCGGACCCACCGCTGCCACCAATGCAGCCCCCACTACTGCTGCCTGCCGCATCGCCCCTGCTTGCACCTGTGCCCTGTGAGGCAGCCGCTCAGCCTGCGCCCCCCGCCTGCCCACCTGTACCAGCCCTCCCTCCCCTTGCTGCTCCCCGCCCTCCCTCACCACCAATTGCACCCCCGGCACCACCTGCACCTGCTGCCGTGGGTGCGTGTGCCATGGCAGCAGCAGCACCCATCATCCCGCGGACCACAGGTGGCAAGTCCGCGCCCAGCCTGGCCTCCCTGCTGCCTCCGCCTCTCCCCCATCCCGCCTCCTCTTCCCCGCCCGTCAAGGCATCGCAGGGAGGGCGGCAGGCGGCAGGCAAGGCTTCAGCGGGGCATGCTTGGGAGGAGGGGCAGGGGCATTCGGAGGGGGATGAGCGGGAGGGCAGCAGGGGAGGAGGGGCGGTGGGAGGGTTGGCGCAGCAGCTGCTGCAGCTGACAGGCGCACCTCCGCCCCTTGCGCATGGGGGGAAGGGGAGAGGCGGGCGGTACCGTGGGAAGAAGGACAAGGTGCGTGCTTGGTGCATGGCGCATGGTGCTTGGTGCATGGTGCATGGTGCATGGTGCATGGTGCATGGTGCATGGTGCATGGTGCATGCTGCATGGTGCAATAGCATACGACAAGGCATGGATGACCCACAGCGCATGCTGATTCACATGAGCTATCTCATCTTACTGCGCTCTGTGAATGCTTTGTGGGCGGGTCAAATGACTGGCAACTAGTATTGACCTGCCCGTCCATGTGCATGCGCCCACACCCCATCAGATCCGCGCCACAGCACCCACGGCGCCCACCAGCTCGCAGGCAGCGCCAGCAGCGGCACCCATGGCACCCATGGCGCTGCAGCAGCAGCTCTCACAGCTGCACGCGTCTCAGCAGCAGCAGGGGCATTCCAGTGAGCAGTATGAGCAGCGGTATGAGCAGCGGTATGAGCACGAGGTGCAGGCTGAGGCAGCGCAACCGCCGTGTTACCAACATCAATCTCAGCAGCAGCAGCAGCAGCAGCAGTGGGAGCAGGATGGTGTTGGGGGAGCTTTCGATGAGCAGGTGAGGTGGGGCGAGGTGGTGCTTGCCAGGGTGGGACGATGGGATCATTGCCATGCATGCTCCACCCACCCATGCACCCTCCACCCGTGCACCCTCCCCCCATGCACCCTCCACCCATGCACCATCGACCCAACACCATTCACATAGCGAGTTGTCTTTATTCAATCGTGCGTTGGTATGACCGTACGGTGCGCCTTTCTCATCTTGTGGCTGCCGTTCCTGCTCTGCATTTCTCACCTCCCTTCACCTTCCTTTACCTCCCTTCACATACCTGCCTCTCCCTTGGTGTTTATCCTCCCTGGTTCTCTCCTCCCCTCCGCCTCCCCTCCTTGCAGCCCATGCCGCCCGGCGTCCCCCCGCCGCGCACCTCACTCGCCTCGCTGCTGCCACCGCTCCCCTCGCCCTCGTGTGCCCCTCCCACGCCGAGAACACGTGCCACTGCCTCCACAGGGGGCAAGCCCAGAGGACCTGGCGCAGCAAGGTAGCTTCGATGTGATATGCAGGTGACTGTACGCAGGTGACTGTATGCAGGTGACTGTATGCAGGTGACTGTATGGAGGTTTCATGCTGCCCACATCTTGGGTCCTCGCTGCGACTTCCTGTGCTCCATACGCCTTCCTATTGCTCCAAGTCCCCTCACTTCTCCACCCCTCTTTCGTTCCTGTCCCCCACACGCCAACCACCCGCTTGCCCCCTCCTTATGCAGTCTGCCCTTCAAGTCGCGCCTGGCTCACCTGGAGGCGGCACAGCGCCAGCAGCAGCAGCAGCAGCAGCGCGGGGCACAGGCAGGCAGCGGGCACGAGGGAGCCCACGGCGCACAGGCAGTTCTGCACGCACGGGCAGATGCAGGAGAGGTGCATGCGCCCTGGGATGGCATGCGCAACTTGCATGTGACTGTAACGAGCGTGAGCTTCGAGGGCCACGTGGCAGTGTGCCTATGCCAGCAGAACCAGCAGCGTGCCACGTCAGCTGCTCCCTTGAGTCAGCCGGGCTTCCATGCTGGCAATGGTATTGCGTGGGAGGAAGGAGGGGGAAGCAGAAGGAGTCACCTGGGCGGCACTGCAGATGCTGGGGATGCTGGCGGTGCTGCGAGTGGTGGTGGTGCAGGTGAAGCTACTGGCTCGTGGCGTGAGCGCTGGCGTGCAGGCGATGCGAGTGCAGGAGGCGCAGGTAGAGACGAGAATGTGGCACGAGAAGCAGTGAGATCCGCAGTTGGGCAGTGCTTTGAGGTGGCTTGTGTCACACTCACCCTCACGGCCTCCACTCACTCTCACGGCTCATGTTAGGAGTCATAGCACGTGCCCATTTGTCCGTGCTCCTTCCCCCCCGTCCCTCTCTCCTGAATCTCCTCCTCTGCATGCCATACCCATTGTGCCCTCCGCTCTTCCACCCTTACGCTCGTCCACTCCCACTTCTTTCCCCCCTCCACACCCCCACATGCCAGACGACGCCTCTCCTCACAAGCACGCACAACCCTTCCTTGCAGTCATCCCCACCAGCAGCACCACTCTCAACAGCTCCGCACCGTTTGCGGCCACTGCTACTGGCGCTGCTGCAACCTTTCCTGCCCCCAGTGCTTCCCTTGTGCCTGCCATTCAGCCCGGCACTGCCATCACCATCCATCCCCCCTGGTACTTGCAACGCCATTGCAACGCCATTGCAACGCCATTGCAACGCCATTGCAATCGTCCTCTGTTTCTTGCTACCCCTTTCCCACTTCTCCTTGTCCTGCTTCTGTCTGCACCCCCTTCCTGCCCCTTAACTAGCCTCTGTGTCCGAATCACGACCTTGTCTGCCTGCCAGGTACCACCTTCCCTTGGTGCTGCCTCCCCCATGGGGCCACACCCACGCTGTCTTTGCCACTCACGCTACGAACACTGCTCATGCTGCTCCTGTGGGCTGCACGCGAGGCGCCGAGGTGCCACTTGTTGAGCTGGCAGGGGGGGGAGGGGCAACAGCTGACAAGGGGATGCAAGTGGACGTGGGAGGGGGGTTGGCAGCAGCATGGGGAAACATGGGCTGCTGACAATCTGCATCTGCATTCCTTGGCTGTACATATGCGAAAAGCTACTAACTCCACATTCCAGCACTGAGTCCTGTCAGCTCTCTCTCAGGGCCTGTTGTCTGCATTTTAAACACCCGACACACCAGAATATAGTATGTGATGTGAGCATATGGTGCAACATGCATCACCTTAGGTGCAAAATTCAATAACTACCCTTGTAATGCCTTCACATAATGCCATATTCTTTCCATTCAAAATTTGCAACTGGTACTGTTTTCCCATGGTTGTTTTGTTTCATCTTCCAACCACAAGTAACTCCGGCTTTTGTTTTTGTTTGTTTTTTTGTTTTTGATATCTTATACATTACATGAATGCAAAGACATCGGCAGTCGTAACTGTTTCAGGGAGGGGAGCGCTACAATAACCAGTATCGCAGATCCCCTCTAGTGCAGCTACGGTGGCTGGTGCGTCATCCTCGGGTTGCCCCAAATTGAGCTGAAGCTGATCCTCCACGTCAGCGGTGCGCCGCTGCTGCAGATCCGTCGCATCACCGTCGCCTCGTCGGCTGCCAGGTGTGCCCAGTCACCACTCACCGCCTGACCCTTCTTCCGAGCTGTCACCTCCCGCGCCAAGCAGTACACCCTTGCATGCGCGACAAAGTTTACCACTGCCTGCCGGGCCACCCTTCCAGCTTGGAATATTTCATTCCTCCATGCCGCGTTGCACCTCGCCAGCCACACTTGGTGCAGCACGGTTGCAATCCAGGTTCCCTCCGGAAATCCTTCGTGCTCCTCTGCATGAAAAGCAGATCCTCGAGGTCCTGCCACGCCATCCCGGGGTTCATTGCCGCCAACCCTTTGCTCAGAAGACCTACCACCACCTGCACTGCCGGGCAGCCGAGAAGGCAGTGTTATGGTGTTTCCTCCCCCCGGGTTTAGGGGCAGACCACCCCCATGAAGAAAAGCCTCGAGCCCACTTGCAAGTTTCTACAGTGAAGCCTCAGAAGAATTCCACGTGCCCTCCGTGGAGTGGCAAGTGAGTCCCTCTGTTCGATGATTCTGTCCCATTCAATTTCTCTCCTCTGCCCTTCCCATCTCATTTGACTCCCCTGTGTGCCAGCCGAGCTTGCTATTGCCTTCCTGATTCCCCTCAGTGGGAGCAGCTCTCCCCCTTCACACGCCTCTGATAGCAGCAGATTTGTGCGCACATCTCCCATGGGTCCCAGGAACACGCAGCCCTCCGTGAGCATCGGCACCCCGCTTCGCAGACCGAAGTCCCCAGTAAGGTTCCCCGTGTACGGCGTGAAACTACCGTCGTCCTCCACGTCATATAGTCTTCCCACAACTTTATCCTCCTTTTCACCCTCGACTTGCCAGTAGACGTACTTCCCGGTGGTTCCGTTCTGCGTCCGTAGTAGCTTCACCGTGGCTACCACCTCCTCGCTCGTCAGCTTCTTAAGCACCATCTCTCTCCAGCTCAAGGGTGCCGCGTTGAAAGATTTTAACGCCCATTTCGCTTTCTCCTTGCTCCCCGATTCCCTTGCCAGGGCATCCATCTCCTGGAGGCTGCACACCCCGTCCGTCGATTTCCGTATCAGGTCTCCCATACGCATTCCCAAAATAACTCGCTCCTCTGAAGGGGATGCTCGGGTTGAAAGCCAGGTGCTCCTGCTCCACCTCCCACCGATTCGGCGGCACACGCGCCTTGCACAGCGGCGAGTCCCAGAATTTTCCGACTAACTCTTTCCATCGTGCGCTCCCTTTCAGCCAGTGGCCCATCAGCGACTTGTGAGCGAAGACGGTGTCCAACCCCAGGGGCATCTCCGCCGCTTTTTCCGCCAGCCATTTCTTGACGGAGTTTGGCCTCAGCACCAGCCGGCAGACGCTCTGTATCGCGATGTTGTCGACTCTCTGCTCGGGGCAGATCAGGCACAGCCCTCCGTCTTTCCGAGGTGTGTAGACCAGGCTGTAGTTCCAGAGGATGAACCGCTTCTCCTCTACCGCCTCCCCTTTTGACACGAAGGTATGACACAGCTTGTGGATTTTCTTCCAGATGTCCTCCGGCGGCAAGTAGACTTGCGCTTGAAATAGGAAAACTGGCACGATGTAGTTGTTGACTATCGTCACCCTCGCCGATGTCGTCAGGTGCCGCATTTCCCACTTCGCTAACTCTCCCTTTGCTCTGTCAAGCGCCTTGTTCCAGGAGGGGGCCGGGTCACCGTTGGGCGTAATCCAAATCCCCAGCAGACGTTCCTGTTCGCCCTTGTCCGCCCACTTAAATTGCAAGTTATGCGGTGCCAGCTTCCCCCGGTTCTTCCCCAGCGGGAATACCACTGTTTTCCCCTTGTTCACCTTCAGCCCCGACTCCTCGCCGAAGCTGGACAGAACCTCCGCCGCTGTCTCCAACTGCTCCGCTCCGTGCAGCAAGAGAGAGGTGTCATCAGCGTAACCCAGATACGCCAGCTTCCCAACTCCCTTCTTCCCTATTCCCAACTTCTTGCGGTTGATCTCCTGACACAGCGGCTCAACAGCGCAGAGGAAAAGGTATGGCGCTAACGGACATCCTTGGCGCACCCCATTTTCCACCGCCACTTTGTCACCCGTCCACCCGTTGACATGTAAGCGTGTTCCTGCCTCCTTATGCAGCCCCTCCGTCCAGGTTACAAAGTCTTCCGGCAGCCCCAGCTTAGGCAGCGTTTTGAAGAGGTAAACGCGCGAGATTGAGTCGAACGCCTTCTAGAAGTCGATCATCAGCAGGTACTAGTCCTCCTTCCCGCCGGCCCTTGCTTCGATGGCATCCGCTACCACTGACACCGCGTCCGCCAGCCGCCGACCAGGTATGAAGCCGTACTGGTCTTCCGAAATTATCTCGTGCAACACCTTTTTAATTGTGCTCGCCATTACTTTCGCCACGATCTTGTACACCGTGCTCAAGAGCGTTATCGGCCAGTAGTTTCCCAAAACGTCTTTGTCCCCTTTCTTATGCAGCAGAATAGTCACCGCCGTCGAGACGCTTTGCGGTAACTCCTCCCCCCGTGTGAATTTCCCCACCAGATCCTTCAGCACCGGCCCCAGCAAATCCCAATTGCGACCGAAGAGCTCCTTCGGCAACCCGTCCGCTCCCGGCGACTTCCCTGGAGCAAGCTCCCGTACCGCCTTCCGTACCTCTCCCTCTGACCAAGGTGCGCTCAACATGTTCCGGCTCTCTTCCCCCAGCTGCCGCTGCATGGGGCGCTCCTCCATGGCAGGCACCGCTCCTCCGTCCGTACAGCCGAAGGCTTCTCGAAAGAAATCCGTCGCCGCCGAGTGGACCTCCTTCACTCCCGAGAAGGTAGCTCCGTTCCTCGTCACTTCTCGAATTGCTGTTTTTGCCTTCCGCGTGTTGATTTGCTCCGACAGGGTACCCGATGCCACCTCCCCATCCAGCTCTGACGCAATGCCAGCCCACGCCTGCAGCTTTTCCTTATGGCTCTTCTCATACGCCTCCAGCAGCTCCTCTTTCCGCAGCAAGATCTTCCCCGTCCTTTGGTAGTGCGGGTAACGTAACACACGGACCCTGAGGCGCTCTACCTCCCTGGTGAGATGATCCTTGGTTGCCTTCTCCCGCTTCCTCTCTTCTCTCGAGTATGCCTTCAAGCAGGCGGTCAGTCTCGCCAGCAGCTTATCGACTGACACCGCTGGTCCCTCGATAATACTTTTGATTATTTTTATGACTCCGCTCTTTTTTTGCCTGCGCCGCCCGTAATCTCCAGATACCCGGCCCGTTCTTGACAGCCTCCGCCGATTCCAACACCACTCCTATTCCTTTCCAATGATCAGTCATCCCGTTTGTGATTGCCACATGTTCTGCGTCCACCAGCTTGCTCAACAGAGGTTGTGATATCAGTGCTATGTCAATTCTTGAGCTGGACCTTGTCGATCTTGCGAAAAAAAATGTATTCCCGCTTATCTGGGTGCATGTGTTTGAAAGCGTCTTTCAGGTCTGTGCTCCCCCAGCAGCTCAGTAACCTTTGGTTCTCCGCCGAGGAGCCGGACTGAGAGGTGCGATCTAAGTCTGGATCCTCGACTACATTCATATCCCCCATCACCAGGACATTCGGGAGTGCCGGCAGGGACAGCAGGAACGGCTTCAGACTATCCCTGTAGAAGCTGCTCCTATTGACCGCCTGCGCCGGAATATACGCCGCTACCAGTAGTATCTCCAGACCTCCCCAGCAGATCACCACCGCCAGGAGCCTTCCTGAGTCATGAGTGAAACTGTCTGCAAACACCAGCCCAGGTACGAAACTCACTATAGCAACCCCTCCCGCCGATTGGTTTGGACCCGGTCCACATGCTGCTACTGCACTTGGATTTACTTGAGTCCAGAAGTTATGGTCTGCTTGGATCCTGGTGTCTGTGATTATTGCCACGTCTGTTTTCTCCCTCATCCATTCTCTGCACAGCTTTTGTTTTTCCAGGCCGCCGAGTCCGTTAATGTTGAACTCGCAGAAAGTTACTTTGCGGGCCTTATCCATTAATCAACAACTGAGAAGCCCCCTCGCATCCACGGGCTGTAGAGATACAAGCAACTATCTGAGCAAGTGAGCCGCTGATTCCGAGCACCCCTCTACCACTACAGCCGATGCACAGATCACCGCATCTTGCTAAAGCATTTAATTCCTGAACTCCTTCTTGATCGCTAACAGGTTCGTCGCCCCCCTGCTGTTGCGTGTCGCAGGTCCATCTTTGTTCAAGCCGGAGAAATGCTTGAAAGACTTCACATGCGCTGTCGCCTGCGCGAAGGTCGTGCCGTGAACCTTCTCGCACACAGCCTGCACGCACACCCAAATCTCCTTCGACCCTCCTGTCGAGATAAGCGCCATAGCCGGGTCCACCAGGATGTCCTTGACCGCACCTGCAGCTTTCAGCGAGGCAGCTGTGTGTCGAGCGCACAACATTATTGTCAGCAAGCAGTAAGTTGAGAGAAACAGTAATGACAGCACGAAATAGAGTTGCGTCTGTACCGTTGAGCTCATGAAC